GATGCTCTTGCTAGCACTGGAGCTCCGGTTGAAGATTCTAATTTGATTTTTGTCACACTTCATGGCCTATTGCCAGAGTATGATTCCTTTGTTGATGCGATCCAATTCCGTCTTGGTTCTACAACACTTGATGAGCTAGATGGATTACTTTTAAACAAAGAAATACAGCTTGCCACTTGCAAGAAAGCTACTACATCCTTTGGTCTTTTTTTAGGCCTTCAATTCGAATCTTGCATCATCATCTGGCATTCTGCCTACATCGACTTCCAATTCTGGCTCTCACGCATTTCTTGCTCAGAATTCATCTCAATTTAATATGTATCAAGGCCATTATCAAGATCGCAATCAGTTAAACCCTATGAATTCTCAAAATAAGGGCAATTTCTCCGGCTATTGTGGCAACAATCAGCATCAGAATTACTCTTGCTATACTCAGAAGAACAATCGTGGAGGTCGCTTGGGCTCTAATTTCAGTGGCAGAAGAACAACTTGTCAAATTTATAGTTAGTATGATCATGAAGCCTTTGATTACCCTCATCGTATGAATCCTCAGTTTGGCAATTAACATTGTTAGATAGCTATGTGTGCTAATCCTTCACAGACTACATCTGTCAATGATGATTCACATAAGCTTTTTGCAGCCACTGTCAAAGCTTCTCTAGAGATTTGGCATCAAAGATTGGGTTATCCCTCTTTCAAAGTTTTAAATAAACTTGTTTCTAAGTCTAGTATTCCTCTCACTACTAGTATAAATAAAACATTCTGTTCAGATTGTGCATTGGGAAAAAGTTCAAAACTGACATTTGTATCAGCTTCTAGTGTTACCACTAGACCTTTGGAACTTTTACACGCAGATGTTTGGGGACCAGCTTCATTTCTCTCCGTATCTGGTTATCGGTATTATCTTCTTATAGTGGATGATTTCACTCGATATAGATGGTTCTTTCCGATCAATTGTAAATCTGAGGTCTTCAAAACCTTTGTTGAATTCAAAGCTCTTGCTGAATCTTTGTTAAATAATAAAGTTGTCACTTTACGATCTGATTCTGGAGGTGAATTTCTTAGTTTAGTGTTTACTCAATATCTTAAGGACCATGGTATTTATCATCAACTCTCATGCCCTCACACAACAGAACAAAATGGTTGTGTGGAATGTAAGAATAGACATTTAGTAGAAGTTTAGCTGCTTCTTATGTTCCTCATGTTTACTAGGTTGAAGCCTTCTCTACTGCAGTTTATCTCATAAACAGATTGCCTACTATGTCTAGATCCTGTCCTTGGGAACAACTTTTTAGCAAGTCTCCAGATTATACAACACTTGTGTTTAGGTGCAGGTGTTTTCCTTGGCTCAAACCTTATGTAGCTTCCAAACTTGAACCCAAAAGTAAGCCCTGTGTCTTTCTTGGCTACAGTCTCAATCACAAGGGCTATCGATGTCTAGATATTCACTCCAAAAAGATTTATATTTTGAGGCATCTCATCTTTGATGAACTGACTTTCCCAATTCATTAAGTTTCTCTAGTTTCATCCTCTTCATCCTCAGCCTATCTTTTCTTCTCACATACCTTCAACTCTTACATTCACCAAGCCCTATGTACCATCTTATCCCTCTCCATCTCTCAACCAACCTATAACTTTTCCCAACTCAACCTCTTCACCTGATATCATTAACTCCTCCCACCCTATCTCTCCTCCTTCCTCACACATATCACTAACCCCACCTCTAAACACTCACCTTATGCAAACAAGATCTAAATCTAGCATTTTAAAACCTAAAGCCTGTTCAGCTACCAAACACCCTCTTTCTTCACACATTTCTGCCGATTATCTTCCTGCTACTTATCTTGAAGCATCGAAACACCCTCACTGGAGACAGGCTATGTAAGAGCAATTTAATGCACTGGTTAACACATAAACTTGGTCTTCTGTTCCCCCACATCATTCTCAGAATCTTGTTGGCTGTAAATGGATGTTCCGCATCAAAAGAAAAGCTGATAATACTATTGACAGATACAAGGCTCGTTTAGTAGCCAAAGATTTTCATCAACATGAGGGTTTAAATTATACAAAAACTTTCAACCATTTGGCCAAACTAGTAACCATGAGGCTTCTTCTCAGACTAGCATCTTAGTATGATTGGTTTATAAACTGGTTAGATGTTAGTAATGTCTTCTTACATGGCAATCTATTTAAGAATGTGTTTATGCAGCAACCATCTGGTTTTCAAGATCCTACAAAACCATACTATGTTTGCAAGCTACACAAAAGCCTTTATGGATTAAAGCAGGTTTCTTGAGCCTGGTATGAGAGGCTTCATGGTGCACTTAACTCAATGGGTTTTCATGGATCACATAATGATCACTCTCTCTTTGTCAAGAAGTGTCATTCTTTGGTGTTTATCCTAGTATATGTTGATGACATTTTGGTCATGGTTTCATCTTCAAAAGCTTGCAAGGACACAATAGCTCAACTGAGTTCTCTCTTTCCAATCAAGGATTTGGGTCCTCTTCATTTCTTTCTTGGGATTGAGGTAAAAAGGTCATAATCTGGTATTTTCATTTCACAACCCAAGATATATCCTTGATTTACTTACCAAGACCAACATGGCTGGTGCAAAACCCTGTGCTACACCTCTTAGTACATCAAAACTGGATCACTCTTCTCCATTGCTCTATAATTCAGAGGAGTACAAATCAATTATAAGAGGGCTACAATACCTTACTTGGTCTCGACCAGATATCTCCTTTGCTGTCAACTTGGTCTGTCAGTTTATGCATCTTACTTACAAGTAGTTAAAAGAATATTGTGATATTTGAAAGGCACTCTTGATTTAGGTCTCTGGTTTCCAAAAACTTCAAGTTCACTCACTGTTAATGCCTTTTCAGACGCTAATTGGGCATGGTGTGATTTGGATTGAAGATCAACTGGAGGGTTTTGCATTTTTCTGGGGAACTCGCTTATTAGTTAGAGTGCTAAAAAGCAACCAATAGTGGCTCACTTTACCACTGAAGCAGAGTATCGATCTCTTGCTAACATTGCTGCTGAGCTTTCTTGGCTTTGTAAATTGCTTGTTGATGTTGGTGTGTCACTCCCATATCTTCCAAAATTGTGGTGTGATAACATTTCTGCGATTTCCTTAGCCAAAAATCCTTTATTTCATGTAAGGACTAAACATGTGGAGATTTATTATCATTTTATCAGGGAAAAGGTCATCTCTAAAGCTGTAACTGTTTAGTTTGTGTGTTCACAGGATCAAATTGCAGATATCTGCACTAAATTTCTGTCCAAGTCTCGATTTCTGTTGCTCAGAGACAAACTAACACTTTAGTTGCCTGTGTTCAGTTTATCTTGATTCCTGTTGTAAATAGCCATTGGACAGTTAGTTTGTTATTGGACAGTTATAGGTTAGATTTTGATGAGTTGTCAAACTATAGCTCTCTGTATAAATACCAAATGTACTCTAATTATTCATTCAATGAAAATACTTTTCTAATATTCGGCAGGTAATTATTTTTTATGAAACTACGATTGCATGTTCTTATGCATTATGCATATGATCTCTTAAGTAGAGGGTTACCCAAATTAGGCATTTAATTAAGGGAAATTGAGCATAATATGCACAACCGGTGAATTAATTTTAATATGGATCAGTAAAAGGCAAAAAGAAAAAGAGGGAGGCGGAGGAAGAGAGATTTTTCAGTATAACTGTCACACGAGATGGTACACTACATGTCTCTATATAAATGATGGGTTATGTGTGTTAAAAGGTTAATAACTTAAAAATTAAAAATTTTCACCACTTGCATAAAAACATGTGGTATACCATCCGTATTCCCGTCACAACTAAAAATTTCTGGCGAAGGAAGGTCTTTGCAGCAAATCACTCCAGACAAGTGCATTGGAAGATGAGAATATTTTAGATCGATTTTATGGTGATTGGCTTCTTCCGTGAGGAGAATCATATATATGACGATTCAAATCCAAAGTTTAAGAAAATTGATGCTGCTGCTGCTTTTGTATCCCAATATGACAACAATGTTAATGGGGAACAATGATGCTTAATTAGGTTTTGGTTTTAGGTGTAATTAAGTTTTAATTTTGAGGGTAGTTGGGTCTATTCAAATGAATTTTTGGCTATATTTGAATGTTATAAAAAAAAACTGATATCACATTAAAAAATCTCTCCACTTTGCTACCGTCAATCTCTCTCTCTCTCTCTCATTGAAACTGGGCCGCATGATTTACGGACCTCTCATCACAGCCATTGAAGCCGGCGACTTCTGCGACGACGACCTCCATCACCTCCATTGAGTTGAATTTCCTAGTCTTTCGTTACCTTTAGGAATCAGGTATGTTTCACTTTGCAAACCCTCAATTGACTTTTCGAATTTATTTCCCTAATTTGTTGTTCCCGTTTTTAATTGTATTGTCATTCTAGGGTTTTTGGGAATTTGGGTGTGCTGTACAGATTATAAGGGTGTATTTATCAATTGTTGTTACATGTTTGCTATTATAACTTAATTAGGGTTGAGAACTATAATTTTGGAAATGGAGAAAAAAAAACCCCTAAATTTCTTTCCAATTTGATGGATCAGATGCTATCATATTATGTTCATATAATAGGTTCAATGAAATGAAAAACCGCATACCCACTAACATTCCTTGGCTTCGTAAAAGGGGAATCTGAATAGCCTTCTGCATCATACAATGCTTGCAAAAGGAAACCCATTTTCTCGTGTGAATACAAAAAAACTTAAGCAAAATCAACAACACCAAAACAATGTAAAAAATTTCAACAAATCCAGTAGCTTCACTTACAACAAAGGCTACAACATTTCTCATAATTTTCCCGCATTTTCCCTCAGCTTCGACTGGTTTCGGCCATCGTTAAATATTTCTTTTAAACATATGTTTCCTTATTTAAAAAAAGACACATTTTAAACTTTCGAATTGGGCTTCAAAAAACTCATGACCGGCCCTACTCCCACCCCGACCCACCCCCATAACTCCCCACCGCTGGCCGCCACTAAACTCTCTCTCTCTCTCTCTCTCTCAATCTCCGTATCCATCCGCTTTTCGTGCTGTCTTCCTCGTCGGTCCGGGAAACCAGTTGAAGAGTTCTGACCATACTAAGCTGGCGATAGCACTGAGCAAGAGTTCAGAGGCTACCAAGTTGAACTCTCAGCATCTATTCGAATCCTGGAGGTTTGTAATCTTTCCTTTGATTTCAATTGTTATTTTTTTTCATCCTCTTCGATTGAAACCCTAGACCAGTAAGCGATGCAATTTTCCCCCAATTGATTGTTCTAGAAATTGTTTTTATGACGTGAAATAAGGTAGTTATCTTAAAATCTTTCATCTGTTTCGCTTTTAAGCATTTGATTTTTGGTTTATTGACAGAAAATTGTTTCTATTGATCTACATTAGGAAATGAAATGGCCATCAACCTATGCTGAAATATGAATTATTTATTGGCTTATATCAAATTTCGTAAAGAACCTTACTTTACTCCCTGGCTAAACCACTATATGAATGGTTTAGGCCTTCAGGTTAACTTGTAGCCGCGGAATGTTGCGTTGGTGAATCGTTGCAATATTGAAATGCATACATTTGTTAACATGTTGTGTCCATTGACAAACTCGAAACATCCAATTATCACCATACTAGATTGTTTTGGTTTGAAGTTGGAAGTCATTGGATATGTAATAGATGTGTAGTTTTGTTATTAGAGCTTGCTACAACTATTCTACTAGTCGCTCTTTTGCTAAAAGTTGCTATTTCTTTTTCACATTGCATACGATAAATATGATCAATTTTTTCAGGTTAGCATGTTGAAACAGATTTGTTTGCTTTTGGTTTTGAGTAGTGTAAGTGTTTATGGGGAAGATGAATTGTGTTTCATCACTAGTGCGCCCCATGAACGTCGTTCAGAATGCTTAGAATGATTTTCAAGGCTTCTTAGGATTACAGTTTTATACTACATTCTTTTTTCATCTTCCTCTTTCGGCCTTTTCCGTCACTGACTATTAGCAAACGTCTCTTTTTTTATTTATGTTCAAATGAGAAGAAATGTATTCTGATTCTTCTCTGTCTCAAGTTTTCAGGCTGCTCAGGAAGGAATGTGCCTTGGACTACAACATAGAGATATGTACCTTGGACTAAGAAAGCTGCGTACCCATAGCTACTCCAAAACTTAAAGCCAATGCCGGAATTTCATGTGTGCTCATTTTGTCCGACCACTCCTCAGAAAACTTGAGCCTGTTACCTCTGCCCCATTTCACTTCTGTCCCAAGAATTATCATTACCTCTCCTTTAACTACTTTTTAAACTCCTGCTCTTCTCTTTCAAACCTCAAATGTATCCACGCTCTAATCTTCCAACATGGATCCAACCAAAGCCTCCTCCTCTCAACAAAGCTGGTTACTTTGGCATCTTCATTGGCCCCTACTATGGACTATGCACGAAAACTCTTTGATGCCACACCTGAAAGGGATGTATTTCTTTGGAACACCTTGATTAGGGGTTATGCTGATCAGGGTCCTTGCCATGAAGCCATAGTTTTGTACAGAAACATGCATCGCAGTGGGTTGTCACCTGATAACTACACTTTCCCTTTTGTGGTTCGGTCCTGTGCGGTGCAGTTGGCTTTGAGGGAAGGGAAAGAAGTGCATTGTAATGTAATTAAATATGGGTTTCATTCGGATGTGTTTGTTCAGAGCGCTTTGGTCAGTATGTATGCACAGAGTGGAGAAACTTTGGACTCAGAGATTGTTTTCAGCGAAATGGTTGTGAAGAACATAGTTTCTTGGACTGCAATGATAGCAGGGTATGTGCAAAATGGGTTTTATGAAGAAGGGTTGGGTGTTTTGCGAGACATGGTGGCTTCAGATACCCAACCAAATGTTGTAACGCTGGTCAGCGTCCTCCCTGCTTGTGCTAGTTTGGAATTTTTGGATTTAGGAAAATTGATTCATGGTTTTGGAATAAAAGTTGGTGTTGACAAAGATGTAGCACTCATGAATGCTTTGATTGCATGTTATGGCAAGTGTGGGAATCTTGACACTGCAAGATATTTATTTGATGGGATGGCAGTAAGAAATTTGGTCTCATGGAATGCAATGATCGCTGCGTATGAACAGAATAATTCAGGGACAGAGGCAATAGAACTCTTTCGCAGGATGCAAACTGAAAATGTCGAGTATGACTATATCACACTAGTCAGTGTTATTTCCGCCTGCACTAGCTTGGGTGCACTTAACACTGGGAGATGGTTGCATGAGCTCATTCGAATGAAAGGCTTTGGAACCAATGCTTCAATCACAAATGCACTCATTGACATGTATGCAAAGTGTGGCAACATAAACCTGGCCAAGGATGTATTTCAGGGGTTGCCTCATAAAAGCGTTGTGTCCTGGACATCTATAATAGGGGCTTGTGCTTCTCATGGTCACGGTGATGATGCTCTCAGGCTTTTCTCTATGATGATAGAACAGTGTGTCAAACCAAATAGTTTCACTTTCACTGCTGTTTTGACTGCGTGTAGGCATGTGGGTCTAGTAGAAGAAGGGAGAAAGCACTTTGAGAGCATGATCAAAGACTACTCAATTTGCCCTGGTTTAGAGCACTATGCTTGTATGGTTGATCTTCTGGGTCGAGCCGGCTGTTTGCTAGAGGCTTATAAGTTTATTGAGAGGATGCCTGTTGATCCAGATGTGGGTGTTTGGGGAGCTTTACTTAGTGCTTGCAGGATACATGGCAATGTTGAGCTCGCCGAGCTTGTGACAGCACATCTGTCCCATTTAGATACTCAAACAGTTACATCCTACGTTCTTATGTCAAACATATATGCCGAAGCCCGTAGATGGGAAGATGAAGCTAGGTTGAGAAACTTGATGCGAGAAAAGGAGTTGATGAAGTTACCTGGGCAAAGTTCTGTTGAGGTGAATCAACGATTTTATACATTTCTATCAGGTTCAAGATCCCGAGCATCTTGTCTGAATTAAGTAGATGGTTTTTGTCCCTAAATGATGCCCTTCTAGTAGACCTGTAAACGGGTCGGGTTTATTGGGTTTGGGTCGGGTTCAACCCAACCCGTTAAGTTAACGGGTCATCTAAACCCAACCCGTTAAGCTAACGGGTCGTCCAAATCCGACCCGTTTCACCCGTTAACATCCGTTAATAATAATAATTATTATTTTTTTTGCATAAAGTTTATTTTTTGTTATTAAGATTTTACTATAATTACTAAAATATTTTCAACTAACGGGTGCTAACGGGTCCTAATGAATCTAACGGGTCTAACGGGTTGATTCAAAGTGACCCGTTATTTAACGGGTTCACCCGTTAGCGACCCAACCCGTTAAACATCCATCCAAATACAAATATTAACGGGTCGGGTCGGATCGGGTTAACAAGTTGGGTTCAAAATGCCAGGCCTACCTTCTAGCAATGAAATTGTGCTTCTTGATTGTTTGGTTGTGTTACACATACAGTATAAAAGTTAATCGTTAACCCAACAGTGACGTAAGCTAGCGCCACCAAGCGCTGCCAATCATCACCTAGTTATGATTGATTTGTTGTGACTTAGGGCTGGTTTGGTATTGATGTGCTTTGAAAAAAAACTGCTGTAAGAATAAGCGGCTGTGAAATAAATCAGTAGAGTGTTTGGTAAATTTTTTTGTAAAAATGCTTTTGGAAAAAAAAGCAGTCTAATAGTGGGTATTTTCATTAAAGGAGCACTGTAGCTCTGTGTGCTTTGAAAAAAAACCTGTTTTCCAAAGCTGCAAATAGTAGCTTCAGCTTTTTCCTTTGATTTCAGCTTATTCTCACAACAGCTTCCAAAATAAGCCTTTTTTTTCTTCAGTTTACCAAACACCTAAAACCCTTACAGCTTTTTTTCATGGGTGCTTTTTTTTTTAAGCACCTTACTCCCAAACCACCCCTTAGTTCAGATGTATGAGTAGGTCCAATCCAGATAATTTTGTATCTGGCTTGCTATAATTTATGTGATCGCTTTAGAACCGATTTGAGGTCAGTGCACTCTAAAACTATTTAAGGCTCGTGGGGTAACCTTAAACATAAATAACTTACTTGAAACGAAGTTAAGAAACTATATTAATCAACTTGAATAAATATTCGATGGACCTCACACGTTATGCGTGTGTAAATATAATAATTTAAGATCACCAAGATCAATTCGCCATGCAATTTTTAGGTAAAGGTTAAAACTAAATTATTATCATGTGAGTGCTTTAATGAGTGTGACACTAGGGCTGTAAATCGGCTCAAACGGTTCAAGTTCGACTCGTTTTTAGCTCGTTCAAGCTCGATTCCTAAGTTAAACGTTTTTAGTTGTTTTTATATTATTTCAGCGGTGTGTATAATTTTCATTTTATGAGATTCATTTAAAAAATGAAGTCGGACAAAGCTCATGTTTAGTTTACAAACGAGCTCGAGCTTGAATAAATTATTTGAGTCAAGCATAAGCTTGGGGTTACGATCTATTTTCGAGCTTGAGCAGATATAATATTATCTGAGCCGACTTTGAGCATCTTGATATTCAGCTCAACTCGGCTCATTTACACCCTTATGTGACACCCCACCATGGACTTTAAGTGATTGAAGTATGATTAATAATGTGATGAGTTACCCAACTCGGCTCATTTACACCCTTAACATTGTTCGCTGTTGACTCTAACTGCGGTTGTTTTTTATTTTTTTTATTTTGTTAAACGATAAATTTTGTTAAATTAAATGTTAAATTAGATAGCTGATCGAGTTTGAAATAGTATAAGGAGAACACTCATGTAGTGCAGCTTTTTAGCGGTAACTGAAAAATTTCAAAGCAAAATCCCGCGAAAACTCCAGCAACCCAAAACAGATAAAGATTTCAAAAAAACATTGTTTTCGGAAACTCATTTCCAGAAACAGGGTCGCCGTCCCATCGTCTTCCTCAGCCTCCCTCAGTCGGCATCTTCCGAATTCAGAGACACCTACTCCCAGACTCGCGCTCTCGTCTATCCTATTGCTGCTATCTAGGTGCAAAACTGTAAATCTTGATTGTCCATTGTTGGGATAACCATTCCACCAGGTACTCTTCTTCTCTCTTGCTCTTGGTAGCGGGCACCCGTTTTTTATTATTCTTTATTCAACTCATAAGTTAGGGTTGGTTGTGATTTGGGGGTTTTGATGAAATTAGGGCCGTGATTTCGGATTTTTTTTGTTGAAATTAGGGCTGTGATTTGAGAATTTTTTTTGAAGTAAGGGCAGTCATATGTAAAGATTTCGTTGGTACGGGTTGCGATTGTTGAATTATGTTTTATTGGTAATTTGGCGGGTTCAATTTTCATTCTTTTTGTTACCCAGTGTTGAACTGGGAACATGATGAAGGCTTCTCAATTTTATTTATTTTTATAATTGAATTGATAAATCGAGTTTAATAGGTGTGGTTGCTTACCAGATTATTAACTCCATTAACACCAATTTGGCATAGTTACTGATAATTAATTGTTAATTTTTTATGTTGCATATTAATGAAAATGCATTTGTACCGTCAGATTTTGTTTAGATTTGTGTTTATTTAGTTCAATTGTATATATCTTTCTAATATGTTTTATAATTTGGGAATTTCTGAAAGAAAAAAAGGAAGAATCATTCAAAGTTTCTGTAGACTTGTATGAATCTCTGCCTTTTGAGGGTTTTTGGCCGGGGTTAATATTGGGTACTTTAGGGTCTCAATTTTATGTGCTTAAGCTGTTTGATCTAATGTTTTGTTGAATGTAGGTTTATAAGGAACATTTATTTGGATCCTGGGGTAGGGTTGGCCTTATTTGGAGTTTCGAAGATGTATGGGACAAATGCCATCCAACTGGTCAAAGAAATTGCAAATGGCGAAAAGGGGCAGCTCACGGCTTTCAGTGTAAGAGAGAACCGTCTTTTTTCTCATTTTGACCTGCCATAAATCTGTCTGTTTTTTCTATGTATTCTCTTATTTGATATATGTTACTATCATCTTGTAGAGTAATCTGTTCAAGGATGTAATTGCAGAATGTAGTCAACATTACGAAGATCTTCAAAAGTCGTTAAGGTAACATGATATTGCAGTTTTTGATTGTGTGTTTCCTTTTCTTTTTTCCCATTCAAATTTGTTGTTTCTATTCCATAGCAGCAAATTACATGCTTCATCTCACCTTGGATGATGAAGCTGTACAACTTAACTGCTGAAATTCTTCTTATGTAAGATAAAATTGATATGCTATTATGAAATTAGGGGAATGGATCCAATCAATCCCAAGAATCTGCTTGAAATCTGTCTCAGTGATCTAAGAAGTTTCTCATTCTTGAGTTGAAATATAAATTGCTCAGGCTTCATGTTTTTTTGTCATAACTTTTGACTTTTCAAAATAAGATAGGACTACTACAAAATAAATAAAAGTGCATGAGAGTTGCAGATACACTTGACCGTATGTATCTGTGCTTGTAGTGCCTCAGTGCTTGTTTTACTGCCATAAGTCTTAAATTACAGATCATGATACCGGGGTTTTCCTTGCAATTCATTTGATCATTTCACCGTTTTTTGGTTGGTGTATATACCTTTCGAGCCATACTTTTACGTTTTTCGGCTTGGACATAGGCAGTCCCAAGATTCAGTGTTGGATTAATAATCATCATGTGACGGGCATTTTTATTTTGAGAACTACCAGTTAACACGTATTGACCAAGTCTAAAACCATGCATCTCCTTTTGCTTTATCTCTAAGTTTCCATAAATCCTGCTTTATCTTTTTGCTTGTATTCTTAGTCAACTTATATGACCTGATGTTGCAACAGGAAAATGCAGGAAGCAGGAATAGATTTCCAAACTCAAAATGAGGACCATTATGGTTTCCTCATCCACCACCTTTCTTTACTTCGCAATAAACGCTGCTTAATGACTTACATGTAATTTTTTGTTTCCTTGTTGTGCTATCATATAATTATTCGTTTCTTTTTAATCGGTATGCTTTATGTAAATGATCTTTAATCAACTTTTGTTGTACATGATTCTCATACCCATTCAGGCACAGCCGAGCAGAAATGTTACGGAATCTCATATGGAAGGTGGGCTATGAAATTCCAGAAGAAATTGAAGAGAAGCTTAGTCACACAGAGAAAGAGTACTTTAAGAAACATTCAGAAGCTTTAAAATCATACATGTCGAGAGTGGAACTCCATTTGGATATGGTAATCTCTCTCTACACTTGCAGTTAAACTTCATAGTAAAATAAACTGATAAGTTAGGAAGTCTTTCTCTTTGACACTTGAATATTCATGTGAATTAATTTTGAAACTTGAGCAAGATGACTGTTGGTTGTGTACTTTTAATTGACTGGCACATTAGAGTCGCTTTTAATGAAATTTTTTTGAGAAACTTGCTTTACTGTTGCTTATTAATGAGAAGATCTATGCTCTATAAACTTAAGACAAGTATCTTGCTTCTTAAATGGGTAGGTTTCGAACCTTTGGCTTGCATTCTGTAACGTTGGAATTATTCTGATGATAATGCTAATAGCTTCAGTGAATAGCACTGGTAAACCCCTTCTTCTGATCACGTAAGCAGAACTTAGACGTACCAAATTCTCGATTTTTTAAAATTCAGTGACATTTCTTTAATCTTTTCCGTTCACAATGGGAAACCCTGGAGAAAACTGTAAAGAAAATTTTTGAGAGTAACCAAACATGATAGGAGAAAGCCAAAATTTTGAAATCGGTCCTAGTATCTGGATTTATGAATCATAGTATCATCTGCAGTTGGAGAAGTAAAACCCTTGTTGTAAAGTACGATGAAGCAATGGACATTGTCATCTTGGCTTCCGAGTTGCATATAAGTGGATATTTAATTGTAAAGTTCATATATCGAGTATTGGTGTGGGGTGAGCAATACATTGGGTAGATGCCCTATGGGTGTGCTAACAGAGGAAAAATCCTCGCCCATGTTTCGCTACATTTTGTGAGAAAAGATCCTCATTCTGATTTCTTGTGTTTGCCAGGATATGGTGCCCCCGAAAGACCCCTACATCAAGGTGAGAGTCCTCGATGACATGGGCGAAGTACAATTACCTAGCTTCAACACAGCCAATTTTGCTCAGCACTCGATGCATTTTCTCAAAAGAACTGATGCTGAGAAGTACATCTCACTGGTATGTTTAATTAACCGGACAGCTTGAAACTTGATCCAATTTGGTTTGGTAAATTCTAGCTAGCTTTCTAACTTGTATCCTCCACTAACAGGGGAAGATGGAGGAGCTCACAGGGTGATTTTACTGGCGCGACCTGCTAAACCATTCTTCCTCGGACTCCATATATTGTATGATGTTTGGTTTGTGGCTATATTGATGATTTTATTCCTAGTTTTTCTTAATAATACCGGAAGTATTAAATTTGTGTAAGTGAAGTCAATTTTTACTCAACAAGAGCATCCAACGACTGCATTCTCATAACCTAGTCAAGTGAAATTTATCCTTCGTTAGTTTACTCAACAAGTTAGCTTGCGCATGTTTAAATGTGATTCCCCATCATGTATAGCAACAAAGTATGTATGAGCGAGTCCCAAATCTACAGATTCAAATTGAGTTAAAACTTTTTTTCGGTACAAGAGGGCTCGGTATAGCGGCTTTCACTCTAACAAGGCGGTAGCCCTCTCCGTTCGAAGTTGGGTGCCTACTCAACTCAGGGCGGTTTTTTTTTATTTTTTATTTTTTATTTCTTGGCCGTCTCCACACTTTTTTGATCTTTATGTGTACTAGTAGCTGGGGGGGGGGGGGGGGGTATAGATATGGATTGTTGTGTACTAGTAACTGGGATTTAAGTGTGGCAGCTTAAAGCTTACATGGTTTTGCCCTCACCCGTCGAGAAAAAGCGAGCACTCGTATAGCCCCGGAAGGTAGCCTTCTCTACACCTCACCCTCTCGTATATCTCTGTCTTATTTAATGACTAGGGTTTTTAAATAGGCAGACGTAGAACTCGCTTTGGTGAAACGATACATGATAGGAAATCTGAAGGGTCATGCAAGATCGCTAACTGAGTAAGCAAACTAACAGCGGTTACGTAAACTTGACTAAATCCGAAAACTGCATGCGTTTGTACGACCAGCCTACAACAAAACCTTCTAGTTTCGAAACGTGGTGATATCCTATGATTTCTAGTTTTGTTGTTTACCGAAATGTTTTAAAGAAATAGAAAGTCATATCAAAACCTGCGTTAAGAAAAACAAGAAGCCAAGAAAAAGAAGAAAGAGAAACCGAGAAAACATGAAGCCAAGAGAACAAGAAAGAGAAAGAAACTTACCATCAGCCGTCGTTGGCCATTGACATGACCGACAGAGGGTTGGGCCGGGACTGGAAGGTGTCGATTCTTCTTTTCTCCTGTGTGGAAGGACGAGGAAAAGCGGTGGCCAAGAACCTCTTGACCCACCCGCTCTGTTGGAATGGCGACGATGGTATGGACAGCTTATTTGAGTTTGCTGAAGTTTTCTTGATTGCAGCACTCCGGTGGTACTGGCAGCGGAATGCTCCGGGATGGGTAGACGGGGAACAAAGGCAAGTTCTTCTAACCGGAGTGCTCGACATTGTTTAGAGTAGTTTGATGGTAGGATGGAGAGAACACTGTGCGTCCTTTTATAGGTGCAGTGTGCGTCCTAATCTGTAGTCGATTTAATAAAACGTGGGTGTTGTAAAATCGACACTGTGTGCAGTGGAATAAACAAACAAGACACAAAATTTATGAGGTTCCTTTACAGTCAGTGTGACTGGAGTACGTCATCGGAGCAGCAGCAGTGTTTTTATTTATAATTTGATGTAATAAGATTACAAAGATAACTCTCTTCTTTCTTTTCTCCCTCTGCCGTGAGCCTTGTGGCTTCTTACTTCTTCCTCTTTTCTTCCTTTTATCACCACATTTTGAACACTTGTAATGCTCTATTTATAGAGCAAACATTTTGAAAAGCAAACAAAACACTATTAAACTTGTGAAAGGTTTACTATATGGATGTGGGCATACATACCCACTATTTACAGGATGTCCACATAAGTATTCAATTAACTTGTTAAAATCTTGATCTGTTTTTGAATGCTCCCCCTGATGAGTATCTCTCCCTGATTTCAAATCATTTAGGCTGATCGTTGATCATTCTGCTTTAGTCTCTTAGTAAGAAGAGTTGCTGAAAGAGGTGCTTTACTTGTTGTTAACTTTCCACAGGTTTGTTCTTGAACTGGGCTGGATGGCCTTCTGCTAGACTTCCTCCAAAGGTCTGAATTTATTTTTTTTATCTGGAACTAAATTTAATTCAAGGGTGGTGGATACTTGATCTTGAATCAAACTTGTGATTTCTTCAAGGACCTTCGAGGCTTGATCTTGAATGAAGTTGTACCGTGAGGAGCTTCACGTGGCAAGTGATCTTTGGCTTTGTCGGGGATGAATCAACACGTGTTTGTTGAGCTTGTCTCCACATACTTCAATGTATCATTTTCACTTGCCTTACTTGTTCCCCTTGCTTAAGTAGTATTTTCCCTGGTTTTCCCTCATGCATGTGTGACATATTCTCCTACAGTATTTGCCCTTTGATGCAGGAGTGGAATGCAACCTTACATTTGGATGGTTCATCACTTCTTGGTGACTGGAAACCTAGCTCTACCAACAGTTGAAGATAACTACTCGAGAGCAATGCTAGGTAAGCAATCAGGAAAGGTTCCAGGTAGTCGGTTCCTTACCGGAGTTTGAGTGGAGGTTCCGACATATTGCTTTCTTTATCCTTGTCTTTGCAGGTAAGAACAAGGATAAGGGAAAGGGCATGGAGATTGCATAATATGAGATACTTTTGCTCTCATCCATGATGATATGAGATATTCCTGCTCTGGTGTGACTTATTTGAAGAGGTATTCTCGAAGAGGAAGAAAACTGAGTATTTCGAGATGCTTTGTTGAAGATGCATTCTCGGAGATGAGGAAGAGTTAGGTATTCTTGCAAGTCTGCCTTATTATGGAGAATAGAGGTCGACATATATAGAGATTTCCCCAATAGTAGGTAATGGTGTGAATTTGGCTTTGTCATCCACGCTTGTCGGCAACAGTGTTGTAGTTGGAATAGTAAGATTTACGCGTTTTCAACTTTGTCAGAGATTTTTGACAAAGTTGCACGCGATATAAAAAAAAGCTAAGATTGCATTTGAAAAATGCCAACAAACTTTATTCAGGAAAATCTGGCTTTTGAAATTCGGAGAGCGGTGCCTCTTCGATCTCTGAACAAGTGACTTTGTTGCCTATTCTTTTATAGAGACATCAATTGTGTTCAAGAGTATGCTCAGAAAGTTGATGTCTGTAAAAAATTTCCCCTTATTGTACTTCTGAATTTTTATTTGACCTAATTTTCCTTCATTATTTCTGAAAATGGCTTGCCCATCTAATATTTGCTTAGATTTGAGTCTTAGGAGTGATACAGACGAGTATCGTCAGGATAATATATGGCGTATGTCCTTCTTATCTTCTAATGGTCATCTTACAGTTAGGGACTCTATGATGAAGAATAACATAATCGCTACTGTGGTAGCTAGGAATCTTCTCACTCCAAAGGATAACAGAATCCTTTCAAAACGGTCCAATAAGTCGACTGTTCAAGACTTCTTGGCTCTTAGTGTTCAGTGGGCGGGCTCTGTATCCAATATAGGCCAACGTCTACTTGCTCAAACTCGCCAAGTTGAATCATTGATGGCTGAGGTGACAAGTCTTAAACAAGAGATTATAGGGCTTAAGCATGAAAATAGAGTGTTACACGTGCTTGCAAATAATTACTCTACGAGTATGAAAAAAAAGCTCGATCAATTGCAGGAATTTGAAAGTCGGATTCAAAGTGATCACCAGAGGTTCGTTGCTAGATTCTGAAAGCAACTGATGCCTTCCCCTTCTGGTGTTTTGCCAAGTATTGGGATGCCAAATGATCAATCTTCAGTGCCTCTCCCTTCTGGGGTACTGCCGAGTATTGAGGCTTCACATGAGCAACCTTTGTGAAGGCTCCATCCTGTTTGTTTGTTTTAACTCATGTGTATGCACATATCTGTAATTTCTCGGAGATATTAATAGATAAGCTTTATTTCATTCAATGTATTGTGCCAAATACAATAAAGCATATAATTCACTAAGATGTGGTACTTCTGGACCAAACATTAATTTATTTTTACCCTCACGAAGATAAATGATCATTCTTAGTGTCGACATTATTTGAGTATTTAACTCATAATCTTCAATCCATATGGTTCTTTAATATTATAAACATCATGGATAAGATTCGTGTTGGCATATTGTTTGATCTGCAACTCGAGACAATATTTCTCTCAACACTTTATAATCTTTCTTGACTCTTCAGGAGTCTCAATTTATTATCATCAACTCTTCAGGACTTCTAATTTAATGTCATTGACTTTTGCAAGAGATTTTAGTATGTTGCAACAATATCATAATGATAGTACTTACTAAGACAATTTATATCATCTATTGGTATTGAATACATAATTTATGCTTTACCCTTCCAGGACTTACTTCAAGCAATTTGAATCCTTCAGAGATTTTCTAAATTTCATGACACGTTTTTCTTTGGAATTTATACAGAGCAACTTGCTCCCATGTATAATTGAGGGATTTACTTATGGAGATATGATGTGGACGACTCACAACCCTTCGTATATAATTCTTCATTCATATGAACTTGTTTACAAGAGTATAATTTCAGGTTTCAATTAGTAACCTTGTGTCATATCATGTGAGTGTATTGCACTGTATTACAAATGCCCAATGTAACCTCCTTGGTTCAACATCTTTTGGCTATTTGTATTGTATTCAAGTATATAGGTCCATTTTTCCACGTTCTTACAAAATTGTAATGGAATTGCCTTTTTCCATTTTGGCCAATAATTCTTGTTGACGGAAAAAGAACAGGGCTCAATATCAAAACAGCTCATTGATGAATTTAGTAGCTACTTGTAAAAACCAAAATTACCATTGGTTATCATCAATTTGAGATCCCATATTCTCATGTGCATGCTCATGCATAAAAGTTTTTCATTTCTTTTGGATATCCATTGCCTCTTAAAGGGCATTACACTATCTCTTCCAGAATAGTCATAATTTAGAGAATGTGGATCATAACCTCCTTTTGAGCGTTATAGAGCTTGGATTTTAATCTCCACTTCTGGGAGTTGAGTCATTGGAACCTATATGTCTATCATGCTCCATGCATGAGACATCAACATTCTCATGTATGCGGATTGTCCTTTCTGGGACGTATATCCATGCGGCGACTGTTATGCTTCTGGCATGCAACAATTATGCTTCGGGAATGCAATACTTCAATAGTGCCATATTCTTTTTTTTTTTTTCGAATGAATGAACCTTTTGAGTTTAAGGGTCTGCCATGCTTCAGGCATGCAACATATAAATAATTTATTGCATCATAATTTTGTCCAATAAGGACA